GTGGAGTTGGAGAAGAGGTTAAGGGAAGAAGGGTATGTTCCAAAGACAGAATATGTTCTCTTTGACATTGAAGAGGAAGAGAAGGAGCATTTTGTGGGATGTCACAGCGAGAAGATAGCCGTTGCGTTTGGTCTGATTAGTGTTAAGCCTAATGACGCAATCCGAGTGATCAAAAATCTTCGTATATGCGGCGATTGCCACACAGCCATTAAACTCATTTCGAAGATCACAGGTCGGGAGATCATCGTGAGAGACACGAATCGCTTCCATTGTTTTGTCAATGGGTCGTGCTCTTGTCAGGAATACTGGTAGGGAGAATTATACGCAAATGTCTTGTTGATGGTAGGAGGCTGACACCATCAAAACCACACAAGGCTTTTGGCTGCCACAAGAACTTGAGGATATTATTTAAGGGTGTCTTTTGCCCCAGTTGCCTCTGTGCTGCTTGCATTCAGGTAAAATTTTTAACTTGTGCTTTGTTTGGCATGACAAAAGCTAAAAGCTAATTTGAGTAGTTGCATTTATAAGCTTTTTTAGAAACAGCCTTTCTACACCCACACCCCATTTGTGGGATTCTACTGAGTTTGTTGTTAATGTTGTTGTCATTTAGTATTATAAGCTTTGTTTAGACGAAACTTTTAAGATCTTTTAGGTTGGAATTTATTTCGTGAGCTTCTCATAATAACTCATCAAATAAATTATACTCCAGGGTATGAGCTTTTTGCTTATGCCTTTCTTTAGAAAACAACTACCTATAAACATAGCATTTTGTATAAATTCATGATTGGAAGTTAGCTTATCAGCTACTTTCATCAACCACTAATATCAATCTATCAACTTTTGAGCAACTTATGAGCTATGTGGTAGCTTCTCAACCATGTTTTGCTGAAGTTAGGTACTAGTAGTCTAATACATCTCATTCATAAATTGTGCAGAAGAAGCTGAAATGTAGAGAGGGAGGGATGATGCGGTCAAACGAAAGCTCAGTCAAATTCAGCTCGAAACATTGGAATCTTCTTCTTCTTCATCTTCTTGAAACCGAACAGGGTCAATTGATTCAATGGTTCGATGAAGCCCCGGTGATGGAAGCGTTATTTATTTAAACTCTATACATAATGGAAGAACAAAATTATAGTGCATTTCCTTTCAATGAATGCAAAATCTAGTTCAGGGTTTTGGTTGTTTGATTGATTTATTTACTCTTGTAAATCTTTTATCACACTATTTACTCCATACATAATGGAAGAACAAAATTATAGCAAGATTTATTTGAGATAGTTTGTACAAAACTAGCGTTTCGCAAGGCGTAAAATCAACAACAAAAAAACTCATACCAGATGAGTGATACACAATTGATAGTGTGGCATCACAACTCATAACATAATCTAACCTTTTTCATTTGCAAAAAAACAGTAAAACATTAGTAAGAAGTAACATTCTACAATGAAAATGGACAAAAGCTTCCATTGGTAGACTTACTCTAGTACTGCAGTCGCGCCCAATTCCTTGAGCTTCTCAACAATGGCGTTGCCCTCTTCTTTACTCAGCCCGTTCTTCACCACCACCGGAGCTTTCTCCACCAGATCCTTCGCTTCCTTCAACCCCAAGCTTGTAAAACCCCTTATCTCCTTAATGATCTTGATCTTGGCAGCGGCGTCGAACTTCTCAAGCTTCAGATCAAACACTGTCTTCTCTGCAACCTTGGGGGTTTCGGCCGACGCGGGCCCAGATGAGCCGGAGGAATCTAGATCAGACACTGCGGGCCCATACTGGCTGAGCCCCATTTTGCGCCGGAAGAGGATGCCAAAGTCGCGCTTTTCAAGCTTGGTGAGGTCAAGAAGCTCGCTGGCGATGCGCTCCAGTTTCTGGGTCTGGGTCTCCATGGCCGTGCATAGAGCTCGAGAGGGCAATGGTGTAAGGCCATGGGAGAGGAGCCTGGCGAAGGGGATCGAGGGCAACTTTGAGACTCTAGAGGCCATTTACGGAATGTGTTGAAACTCTGTTAACATCAGTGTGAAGAGACGATGAAGATGTGCAAGTCTCTGTACAGATTTTGAAATTAGGGTTACAAATATGCTGAGTTTAACTGTTAGTGTTGATCTAAAAATTCATTTGCAGATGGAAAATAAAACCAAAAAAAATAAATAGTTCGAGGAATATGGAAAGGTTAGAAATCGAAGCAGAGAAGACTGGAAATGGAGCGCAGGAGATAAAATCGAAGCAGAGAAGAAATACCTGAGGAGGACGAAGGGACTGAAGGAAAATAAAATGGAAGAGTGAATTTCTCTAATTAGATTAATAGGGCTTTGGTTCTAATTGACCCCCACGTTAACAGGCCCAATTCACTAAAGGAAGAAGTTCACAATTAGTAATTACCCAATAGTTTTTTTATTTTATTTTATTTTCATTTTTTTTGCTTTACCTCGGTTAATAATCTCACCTTTTTCAGTCACGGGAAATAATTTCACATTTCACATGTGTGTAAATTTTGGATTGTTTTTTTCAAATAAATGAAAGGTGCGATTATTTTATGTAAATTCACTTTTTTTCATTTTTAATTTGTAATTTAAAAATGTTTTTTAAATGATTAAAAGCTAATTTTTTGAATTACTTTTTAATGGTGTTGTATTAGTACTCTTATTTGGGTTTTACGTGTAAATTAAAACTCTCTCTTTTGTTAAAGTGATTTGATTTATAAATTGATATAGAAATAAAAAAAACTTACTCTGTATATATTTAAATATTACTCTTATATCAAAAGTTTTACGGAGTATAAAATAAGTAGTGATTATAACATTTTATTTTGTCAAATGACTAATGAAAAAGCCTACGTAAACAAATGTTAACCGAGATGCCTTGAATAGTAAATAGGAAAAGATCTGACAAACAAAAGGATAAAAAAATTCACAACTTTCTTTACAAATTTCTACTCCCTCCGTCCGAATTTTAAGTTCCCGGTTTGACTATTCTCCATTGGAAGTTGAATTTGTCTACAATTTGTCCAAAATGCCCCTAAAGCTCAATCCTTCACAACAACTGATTGCTTGTCGCACCAAACAAACCCCAAGCTACGGAACTGTCGGAACACATCGCCGCACCAAACAGACCCCAGTGGCCAGTGTGACGGATCTACTGCACAATCCGAGCAATCTCTCCCTTTCTCTACTGCGCAAACCAGGCCCAAGGCGAATTTCTTGCCGCACTAATGGATCTTCAGATTTTGTAGATCTGAAAAAAACGAGACCCAAACTCTGGTAGAAGAAGAAAATGACAAAGAAAAAAAAAGAAGGGGGAAGAGACGGGGGAGATGAAGGCTAGATCTAGCCGAGAAAAGAAAGGAAAGAAGAAGAAGAAGAAGAAGAATAAGAAGAAGAAGAAGAAGAACAAGAAGAAGAAGAAGAAGAAGGAGATGGAGGAGGAGGAAGGAGAAGGGGATGAAGATAATGAGAAGAAAAGGGGGAGGGGAAGAGAAAGAGAAAGAAAGAATTCACCTGTGGTGGCGGAGAAGAAATTGGCCGACACAGAGAAAAAGAAACACGGGAAAGGATGGGAAATGAAAAGAATTAAAGGGTATTTTGGGAAGATTGGGTATGAAAACGTAGAATGAGAACTTTATTTCCGGACGAAAAAAAGCGTAGACTGAGAACTTAAAATTCGGACGGAGGGAGTATTACTTAGTTGAAGAGATTAATTTAGTCTTGTCACATTTATTTTGTAAAATATTTAATGCAACTTTTGAAATATAAATTGTATCTGCTAATTAATCATTTACTTTTATACTTTTTCCGTCTGAAAAAGTTTTTTCCTAATATCCTTATTTTTGGTTCGGGAAAGATTTTTTCATTACATCTTTTTAATATTTAAAATATCACAACTATCATCATTTTATTTATTACATCTGACTCCATATTTCACCAAATTCCATTATACTCGGTGATGGTGTAAATTACCGTGCAAATACTAAGTATAAGTAATCGGAAGGGCTGTAGGTGGAAACACCTGTAACCCAATTTGTTATTTATAATAACGGGACTATTAAAAAGTACAAGCCGTACAGATTATTTAAAACCTACCTTACAAATGAGGCTTTTAGGGGTATTTATAACAAAGAACAAGCACGTCAAGCACGTCCCAACGTTACTATTCTTCCGACCGGTCAGTTTTCAAGTCATCCACACGGGCAATCTTCAAGCCATCCACCCGGGCTGTCCAAGTCATCCACCCGGGCAGTCTTCAAGTCACCCAACCAGGCAGTCTTCAAGCCATCCACCCAGGCTATCCAAGTCATCCACCCGGGCTGTCCAAGTCATCCACCCAGGCAGTCTTCAAGTCATCCACCCGGACAGTCTTCAAGTCATGATCTTAACGATCTGGCCCCCAACATCCACCTGGTCAGATTAACGGGGACGGTGAGGTCAATCATGGTCAGACTTTAAGCCTTATGCGAATGAAGTCACGATCTCACATGTCTGGTGGCAACATCTGCCCGGTCAGTCTACCGGAGTTGGTGAGGTCATGTGAGGTAAGCCTTCGGATCTCTCGGGCGCTTGTGACATCCACCCGGTCAGTCTCCCGGGGTTGGTGACATCAGGCGGGGCCAGAATTTGGTACCCCCGGGCACCTGTGAACTTGCCGGGTGGTACTAGTGGATTATATCCATCACTCGGGGTATATGGATAATATGGTAACTTTAATCTTTTTAAATTCTTTTTAAAGGCAAATACTTTCATGATCTTAGGCTCATTCAAATTATATGGACTTTGTTGATGCGAATTAGTATTAGTATTAGTATTAGGATTAGGGATTAAAATTAGGATTAAGGATTAGGGATTAGATTTGAGGTTAGGATTAGAGGATTAGGGTAATAAGATTAGAATTATGATTAGGAGATTAGGATTAAAATTAGAGAATTAAGATTAAAATTATGATTAAGAGATTAAGATTAGAATTAGAGAATTAAGATTAAGAGTCTAGGATTTAGATTAGGACATTAGGATTACATTAGGCAAAGTAGTTTGGGTGAAACGAGCCTTTCTTCACATTAACTTTCAAACTCAACTTTTATGAAAAGGTCTCAAATTAGGTATGAATAGGTGCATAGAATCACCACTCCTTTTTTGAAAACCCCAAAAAGTCAAAGTGTTTGGGTTATGAACTAGGATCGTGTTTATGGGCCGGCATTAAGCTGATGATAGTTTAAAATGGGTAACTTTTTCCGCGTTGGCGGGGGATAAAAAAAACCTAACTCGGGATCTCCGTCGTAAATCCCTCTCCTCTCTCGATTCGCCGCCGTCTTCTCCTCCAATTACCTCGTCGTCTCCGCCGTGCCGGACCTCTCGTCTACTCCTCCAATTATTCGTGTGAGTTAATGTTTTTAATCCCTTCTTCTTCTTCTTCGCATCATATTTCAGTCTTGCGGCGTCCACTCAATGGTTCATACTGATTAAACATGAAGGAAAATCGTGGTTTAGTTCGATTTTGTTTAATGTTAATTGTCTAAATTAATTTATCGCCATAATATGTCTTAATTAATGTTAATTGTCTAAACTAATTTGTAAGTCACCTGTCACATCATATTTTTTACAAGTTTGCTCAAAAGACTTGTTTGGTAGGCCAATTCTTGATCAGTTTGCACATTAGCAAAACAGAGGAGGATCACAAGAGTTTCTTTATTTGCTTATTTATTGGCTGAAATGTGTACTTTGGTATTATAGGCTTCTTGTTAATTCTTCTGCTGAGGAGCTGGTGGTGGATATGGAGAACATTCCTGTTGAGGTTGTCGGGAACATATTACTTTCGCTAGACTCCGCCCGTGACGCGGTGGTTGCTTCAGCCACCTGCCGGAAGTGGAGGGAGGCATGGAAGAACCACCTCCCCTCTCTCGCATTCTCCTCAAACGACTGGCCGAAATTCCGCAAACTCACAAGCAGCGAGTTAGAGGTCATCGTAACCCGAACCCTCTTCCAGACGGCCGGTTTGTGCGGCCTCTCCTTAATAATGGAAGACGACAAGGTGTTGTCCCCCGCCCCTGTCATCGCCTGGCTGATGTACACCAGACCGACGCTCTGGGAGTTGAATTACAGCGCGAAAACCGAACCGAGAATCAACGTTTTGGAGCTTTGCGGGCGCGAGAGGCTCGAGGTCTTGTCCCTCGGGCACGACGCGATAGCCGGCGTGGGGCCCACGCGCCTCGGGAAGTTCCTCTCCCTGAGGGAACTAACCTTGGACTGCGCGAGCATTTCGGGTTCGGACTTGAGCCTGTTCCTGGCCCTAAGCCCGGTTCTCGAGTTCCTGAACCTGATGTGCGTCGACGTTGTCGTGTCGGACCCACACGCGACGTTGGAGTTGAGGAACGGGTCTTTGAGGGAGCTCTACGTCGAGGAACTCGTCAACTTGGAAAAGGTCGTCGTGGAGGCCGAGAGCCTCGAGACGTTGCACTTGAAGCACTGCGAGCTCGATTACTTCGAGCTCGTCAGCAAGGGCGGGTTGAGGGCCCTGACATTGGTGGGGTCAGCACCCTCAACCTCGGCGAGTCAGCCGAGAATCTCGAGTCAGTTGACCTAATCAACTTTACGTCCATGCGGTCAAAGTTCCTCCACGCGATCATGAACTCGAAGAGGCTGAAGAGGCTGAGGCTACGGGGAGTGGTTTTGGACGAGTACGACGAGGACGCTGAGGCCCTCGATTTGGGAACGATCGCATCTTGCTTTTCCCGGCTCGGCAAGCTGTCTCTCAGCTACGAGCTGAAAGAGCCGTCAGTCAACCACGGGTTGGCCCGTTCGTTTGCGATGACTCGCGAGTCAATCATGGAGCTCGGGTGGACGGTCATCAACGACTCGTTCTCGGAATGGGCGGGCTGGGTTTTGGTGAGGGGTGCCCGGCTGAAGAAGATGGTGATACGCGGCGTCGTCTCGGAGATGAAAAGCCATGAAGAGCGTGAGACGACGTTGGCCAACTTCACGCCCTTCATTGCAAGGCTCGTGAGGATGAGGAAGTCTGTTTATATAGAGGTTCGGGTTGAATACGAATGAGTGAAAGCATAGCAGCTGAGGGATGGATTTATCTTCCCCTTTTGGTTTAAAGGTCATTCTTTATTTATACTTTGGGCACATGTGTCTTATGCAAGGGCACATTTCTTTCTTTCTTTTTAAATGCTCCCTTCCCCACACTCTCTCTCAAAATAAGGTTCTAAATTTGCCACACTACACCAGATTTGTTTACCAACACTTTTATTATTCACACTGACACAATTTTAGTGTAAAATTTTTCGATCAGACTAATATGTGGTGTCAGTGTAAACCATCAAAAGATCGATGCACACACGTGGTGTACAACTAGGGGTACACCGTACACTCCTTGATGTAAACACTTTATCCACTATTTTTTAACCCCAAAGGTTTATACTTACATTTGATGGTTTACATTGATGCAAGGAAGATTGTAACATTTCGCGCTGACATTTTGTACCGATGTAAAGATACATACATACACATACATGCAAGGAAAGAAAGTTGGGATCAATCAAATATTACATGGCCGATGAAAACAAATGATAAAGTGGGGCCAGGAAAATCAATGTTTGGATGATGATGATGATGATATATATTTTCTTCCCACTGTAAATTTCTGAGAAGGATTTCAGCCAAGAAGGCTAAGGGCAACTCCATGTCCTCTTCACTTCTTCATTGGCCGCCGCCGCCATTACTGTAAAATTCTGACAGCCACCATTTTTATAACATTCTTCAAGCAACCAAAACTCATCATGAGTTCATTTCACACTACATTCCTGTTTCATAATATGTTATCGGGACTTTCAATCTATTGATTCAGTTTGACTTTTTTAAGTCAAAGAATATAAATTTTAAGTTTTAGTTAAAAGATAAATGTAATGTATAAAATGGTTTTTTTATACAAAACCACTTTTACCCATATTTTTTTACTAATAATCTATCCATCACATCTTACTTTTACCCATCACATCAAGGGTATTTTTGGAAAGTCAACACCAAAATATCATCCCTTGATTTCTCAAAAAGTTAATAAGGGAACGACTTTAAGGGGCTGTTGAGAACTTTCAAAATTTTATTTTATTATACTAATGTACAATATAATTAAACTGAGAGTAATAGAAGCTCAACGTTTATCTAGTTTCATTTGAAAAAGTGAACTGGATGAAAACATTGTGATAGAACTAATAGTTCATACCCCTGACAAAACCCCTACCCTAAATCGGGTGACAGTCTACTAATTCCGATAGGAATTATGTCAGAAGCGAAATAAGTTGATGTCATAATATGATGTTGGTATCTTGTGTCGAAAGAACCGTCCTCTAGTAGTAATAATATTCGGAGTAATCGAGGAGAATAAATTGGCTAGGCAAATGTAATAAATAAATAAAAAATTAAAAGAGGGTTTGAAAAGCATGGGATTGTGATCATTTTACCTCTTGGTTTATGTTGTTTTCCAACTCTTCCTGCACTTCACATAAGATTAAATGTAAATAAGTAATGACGCATTTTATGCCTAAATAAATATAAGATTATCATTATAATTTTCTTAAAACATTTAGAAAAAAAAGTTGAAAGAATGTGAACGCAAATCATGGTCACATTCATAATATTCATTCAACTTGTTAATTGGAGCAGTAATTACGACGACTAACCAGGGCTAGCCTTAGCTGACTGTTTTCTTCTCTCAAATGATTCACTTCTGCTTCAAGCTCCTCTGTGTAAGCCTGCAATTTCATTTAATTAACATCATATATACCAATTTAAAAAAATTATCCTATTCATGAATGTCTTATGTCTCTATGGAAAGACTTGCATGTGAATATTATTTTACCATATGTTTTTTATCCCAAGTCAATTAAATTTGGGGAGCAATTGAAGGAGATGAAGTGATGTGTATATGGGTAGGAATCATTAATCCTTTCATTTTAGATTAAGATTTTTAATTAAAATTATTCTCAGATTCATTTATTTATATTTTAGTGTAAAATAACAATATAAGTTATTTACAAAGTACTTAAAAACTAACTAAACACTACTACAAAAACAAGTATTTAGCATCGCCTGTTTTGGGACCAAAATAGAATATGTTAAAATAGGAATCATAGTTCTATTTTAAAAGTATTAGGGCTCCTATTCTGTTGGTCTTAATATGTGACTACTATTTTAACAGAATATGAATCCTAAGACTTTTAAAACCAAAATAAAACTTTACTTTGCTATTTTACTGTCACACTCATCATATTGTCATGCTGCAAGTGTGTCACTATTACTGCCATCGTTAGCCACCAAAGTGTCGTTGGTCACCGACGATTGTTTGATTACACTGACATATTACATTATCATCACTTTTCCATCACACTATCACAACGTACTCTTACATTACGCTTGCATTATACTAGTCGTTTGATTTTAGTCTTAAAAACCTGAGAAAATTATTTTGATGTTTTCATACTTTTTCACTGGATTTTTTATGAATTACTCCTAAGTCCTATCTCTATATAATCATCCAACACTATTTTTCCAAATCATAGTAGATAAACTTCGATAACAAATTAAATAAAAATTATATTGTACTATATTATTACAAAAATAATTTATTAGGTATATTTTGTGAAATATTTTTCAAAAATTCATATTTGTAAAGAACTAAAAAAAATCAATGTAAATGAGAATATTAAAAAAATAAAATCTGATATCTTACAAAGAAAAGATAATTACCTGCTTGACTTAAATTTTTTTACCTAAATAGTATTAAAATATACTCTCTCCGTCCTAAAACTTTCTCCCCGGTTCGCAAAACGAAGAAAAATCTCAAGTTTTTTCAATCTATTTTATTTAAATATTGGTATAGAAATAAAAAATAAAACATACATATTTAAAAACTACATCAAAAGTTTAACAAAAAAAGTGGTGACAAGAATATTTTATTTTATCATATAGGCCATGAAAAAACACAAATAAATATAAATTTTCATGGGAATAGTGCTATGGGAAAAAAGTTTTAGGACTGGGGAATAGTTTTTTTTTTCAATGCAATTTCAATGTCCACTATTTATCAATAAACAATACGGAGTATATGTTTTACTACTCCATATTATTTTGTGTCAATTTCCCAAAAAAAAATTAATTTCACAAAAAAAAAAAATTGACCTGCTTTCTTGCTCTGGACCGGGCTGCCGATTCCCTATTTTTGATCATCCTTCTCTGCCTCCGCGCCACCACCACCTCCTCCGGCCCATCGACGACCCTCTTCCGGCTTACTCTGCCACCTACCTCCGATCCATGCCGGCTCCCGCAGTGGCCCTCGGACGAAACCGGACTTACCACCGCTCCCCCACGGCCACCGCCGTAACCAACACCCTGTTGCAGAAAATAACTATTCCTGCGGATGCTCCCCGTGCAACACTGCGGCGACCCCAAATCGTAATCTCCGCCGGCGAGATCATTGCCGCTCCGAAACGAATCTCTGTCCCTGACTACACCGGCTTTGACCAAGAACTCCTCCAGCGTCATCTCTCTGTAATTACTCGCCTGATTAGATTCCCGACGACGAACAGCCACCGTCGATCCCCTGTTTCCGTCGGCGGGTTGCTCTGTTTCTTGAATTTCCGACCAAACCTCGTCCACCGTTTTCCGGCAAAGCGGCTCCGGGATTGCGAAAGAACCGCCTTCCTCTTCCTTATTATTATTCTCATGGCTCCATATGCTGGTGAGGAATTCGTCCATGTTCATGGATCCGAAACTCTTGCCGCCTCTGTTCTGGAATTCATCAAGGGTAAGATTGTAAATTGAGCTCTGTAATCTTCCCAGCTCCTTGAACTCCTTGTGCAACAATGGAGATTCCACCTCATCACCTTGGGACACCATTGTTGAAACCTCCAAGAGAAGATGGAGAAAAAAATTTAAGTCTTTATTTATTTATTTATTTATTTATTGGGGAGTAATTAAAAATTTCAATTTTGATTGATGAATCAAAGCTTCAATCTTCTCAACCTCCCCATTGAATACAGAAGAGAAGATGTGATGAATGATCAAGAAATAGATAGAGAATTGAAGAAATGTATGAGGTGAGGTGTTGTCTAAATACAGAGCTCAGTGTGGCACTACATAGTCATCAGCTTGTGAAGAAGACGATAGATAGATAGATAGAGGAATGTAGGTGAGTGGGCCATATGTATTCTATAAAACCTAGTTAAGTAGGGCCCGCCGTTCGGTGAGTGTTGAGTTCTGATATATACTGAGGGTAAATCCTGATCTGATCTAATCTAATTGTAATTCTATTTAAACCTGTTTGGCTGTTTCTGATATAATTTAGTCTAATTTTATCTGATTCCAATAAGAACAAATATTCAATAATAAGAATAAATTAAAGAGAACAAATTCTGAGTATTTTAAAATTTACCCAATCTAGAAATTTTAATTCTAGATTTTAGAATTAAGATCATATTGATCCTTTGAAATTCACTCAAGACGTGCTTAGAGCAACTCCAATGCCAGAGGTAAATCAAAGGGTATAGAACAATAATTGTCAAATTTACCTTTTCTTCACATTAGTTTATCCTCCAATGGGGAAGGTAAATGTGAAGGTATTATACCTTCCTTAATTTTGAAGAGGTATATTTACCTCCTCAATTTTGGAGAGGTATACTAATTTCTTCTCTTTCCTTAAAATATCTTTATTTTGGGAAACATATATTTACCTTCTTCATTTACCTTCTAGAACTTTTTAAATAGGTATATCTACTTTTTTGAGAAGATAAATGAGCAAAATATCTTCTCAATTTACCTTTTCCCTTTGGAGTTTCTCTTAGGATTTAAGTAGATAAGAAACAATAATAAGTTCAAAAGACTAACTTATTGATTAGGTTCAATCATTGAGTTTAATTAGATTTAATTAACCATTCTATATGAAACACTTTCTCCTTTACAATGGAATTTTTTTAATGTACAAACTTTCCACAATTTAATTTAAAAAGTAAATCTTCTCACCGTCATATAACTTTTGGGAATGGAGAGAGTATTTTTCACTTTTTATTGAATTTTTTTTTACAGAGTACACGTCACATTTTTCTTGCATTTCAAGATTTTAAAATGCGAACTTTACTTTGCAACGGAAATACATGACGTAATCGAAATTCTAACCTCAATAAATTTTAAAAATGATATAAGCTGAAAGTTAGCTTTGAATACCGAGTACTATTTTTTTTAAAATAGAAAAACAAATGTTTTAACTTTTAACAGTGAAGCCTTAAATCTAATATGGAAGAGTGAAATTTACTCAAAGTAGCAATAAAATTTAACATTTTTTCCCAGAATGACACCGAACAATTTTTTTCCAAAGTTAACATTAAATTAATTAATTAATTATTAATATTGCACACTTACTAAAAATCTTTTGTATCTTAATTATTTTATACTCCGCAAATTTATTTTCTCTCTTTGATTAATTCCCTACTTCCTTGATTCGTCTGTTGATATTTTCTTTTTGATGGACATTATAAAAATTATTGACATTGTTTACTAATTTGGACATTGTAAAAGTCATGGATATTATTTAATGATCGGGAATTTGGATGGCTAATGCAGTGAACATTTATAATTGGAACAATGTCTTTTTTCAACCGACAATATCTTGACAGTGGACATGTAGACATTAACAACGATATTAGATATTATTAGAGTAAAACCACGGAAGTCATTAGCTCAAGCATAATGAACATTAACGGATGGCGGCGAGACACTGACATTGACATTTTGTAGTCGATGGCCGGAGAAGGACAATAAGACGTGATGGGACAGTAAATATAAAATTATATAAAGGACATTTTAGTACACTAGAATTAATAACTAATTATTAATTAATTAGATATTAGTTGTAGAAATTAAAAATTTTCGTGCTATACAGGAAAATTCATTATGTTGTAGTGCTATTTAAATAAATTTCTCTATATAAGAACATCAGCAACCCAATTTTTTTTTACAATATTCTTCCTTATTAATTTTTCTTTTTTTATTTTTGTAAATTTATATGTATTTTTCATAAGTCATTTGATATAATAAAATATTTTTGTCGCATTTTGTTTTATAGTATTTTGATGTAATTTTAAAATATATAATTCAAAAATTAAATAAAATCATTAAAAAGAAAGTAATATTTTACCTAATTGAATTTGAGACGAAAAGAAGTAAAGAACACTTTTTTCTCTCTAAGTTATGTGAACCGAAGCGTATTACTATAATAATGAATTGACGACTAAAAAAAGGAAATTAAGCGTGAGGCGAGAAGAAAGTGAAGGGGTGGCGGGTCCCACAGAGATCGTCACCGTGAAGGAAATAATCGGTGTGCATGGGGAACGCTGGTGACACGTCTTCGGCGTGAGACGGCGGTGGTGGCGGCTCCGTTAACACGCGTCCATCTTGCATGTCCGGATCCGGGTCCGACCCATTCCGGCTGAAACTCGACCCGTCTTTTTCTCGTGACGTCGTCATGCACGTTTCAACTTTGTTCTCTACCACTAGAACTTTAACCTAAAGGCTAAAAGAAACGGTGATGTTCTTTTTCCATTTTTGATATATTACTTTTAAATACATAAATTTTGTTTTACAAATTCGATATAATTTTTTTGATGAATTTGATTAGAAATATTTTCATTCAAACACGATAAAGTTCAATGATAAGTTGGCCTTTCGACGGAAGGAGTATCAATAGATAGATATTACATTGTAATAGAATAAATAGTACTCCTTTCTCTCTTTGTGCATTTTCATATTTTTCAGGATCAGAATTTGTTCATCTTTTCAATCTATTTTCTGTATTCATTTAGTAATATAATAATAAATTAATGGATCTTTTGTTTTGTAGAACTTCTGCTTTAGTTTTTTGATATGTAAATTTTATTTTTTTTAATTCCAACAAAGTTTTAAAATAAAATAAATTGAAAATAACTTCAGTCAAACATCGTAAATCAAAACAGACACTATAAGGTGGAACGAATGGAGTACTAAAAAGAAATCGTAAACATTTCTCCTTCCGTCTTATAATATTCTTTACACTGGGAGAGTGATGCCAAAAGAAGGCTACTGCGAGGGAAGATGATTTGATCCATGAACAGTGCAAGTATTAAATTAAATTATTTAGATAATAAGTTGGAATCGTTAAAGGTTAAAAACATCATTTGCGTGTGACTTGTTTTATACTTTTTCCTTCATTATTTACTCTGCTAAGAAGCTTTTAGACCATCCCCTAACCCCCTCATTTTCATTTCAAAAGATTTCACTCTCAGGATTATGTTAAAATTAATACAGTTTAATTTTCAAATGCCAATTATCATATTCTGGTGTCCAAACATTATGATTCAACGTTGTTAATAAATTTACTCCTCATTTATTTGGCTATATATCTACCCCTTTTTATATAAAATGAACAAATTTATCCTTAATGTTAATAAAAAGGGAAAGAAAGAAGTGAGAGGTCAAAATTATCAATTTCGTTACAGCCTTTCTACTTTCGAGTAGGGGCAAGGTCTGCGTACACACACCCTCTCCAGACCCTACTGTAGTGGGATTCAACTGGATTGTTGTTGTTGTTGTTATACATAGAGTGGCTTTAGTCATATAAGAGTAGATTTAACACCACCCAAAAATATAACTCTAGTTAACAATAATCCAAAGCACACAAGCCGAAAATACGAACTAAGGCTCACGCGTTTATCCAACTATTCTAATTCTAAATTTCAAGGTGTTACTATGTAAGGCTATATACTCAGTGAGATCATGAATCCATTAGTCTTCTCTAATTAATCACCACCGTCCAACTCTTCCTATGTTTACGTCTTCCTTTGTTACTATCACTACCGGGGGCTTCACTCGTCCTAACAATGCCCAAATATAAACGAAGAATAATTCAAGAACCCAATGGACTACAAACAGAGAAAATAGATGAAGAACCAACTATATATATATATATATATATATATATATAGAGAGAGAGAGAGAGAGAGAGAGTAATTAGCAGCATTGCACAAGGATAAAGATATTGCATTGCCTCTTCAAATACTAGTCAAAGAGCTTCACTTACAATCAATTACATTGAGCTAACTGTCCGGCTGGTTTGGGGAACAAGACAAGTGTAAACTTAATAAACAGCGAATAAAATATAGAAATTTTTAAATTACCATTTCTGATGTATCACAAGGAGCAGCTGCAGGCATCTGAAAATTTGATCCATATGATGAAAATCTACAGAACACAAGAGTGAGTCAGTCAATCAAGAAATAACACTAGCTGTCAAAGAGACACTGAGAAATAGGCCAAGAACACGTACCCTAATCATCGCTTTCTCCTATTAAAAGTGTCTTAATGATTTTGGCTGACATCCCTTCGGCGAAAGGGAACATGTGACCCGCCCCTGGAAGCTCGTGGTAACGAATCCATGGAAGCTTCTGAGCAATGTGACGTTGCAGAGTGACGGGCACAAGCCCGTCCTCGTCTCCTTGCCACAAGTGAACGGAACCTTCTTTATCTGGGAATGGGTTCTTCAGATCCATGGGGTCGAATTCCCAGCTTCCAAAACCAACAATTAGGTCACGGTGGAGGGACTCGTATTCTCCTTGTTGCCTTATCTGTCTCTAAAGTTGCCAGTTGCCACAGAAAACAAAAGAGTGAGGATTAGATACTCATATTGGGATGATGTTGTGGTTGAAATGCCTAAGTTGGCTGAATTGTCTATCTACCGAAATAAGATCTCCTATGTTTTTGTCCACTAAATAAAAGTGTTGACACCGTGAAATGCCACAATTAGACTTTATGTAATGGAAATGTAAAATGTTTTTTGGCATTATGTGTTGATATTTTTTGGCACTATAAGTCCTACTCCGTATTTTAGTATGCAAATATTGAATGACCTATTTTGATATATGAAGCATGTTTTAATCCCGCAAAGGTTTGCACACTTTGACTTGCGGTTGAGGATTGTCAACAAAAATATTGAAAAGATGTTAAACATGAAAAGCAAGTAGTTAGAATTCCTATGAAAAAGAGAAGTATTTTGGATCACACTCTTTTCCAAGAAGGGAAAAAGAAATGAAAAAATTATTTTGGGACAAACTAAAAAAGAAAGTGAGAAAACTTTTGTGACGGAGAGAGTATGTT